CGCTCGTTCCTCGCCCTGGAAGGCGTCCGCTCGGTATCGATAGTTTCTACAGCTTTGCAGTGGGCATCGCGTCACCGCAGCGCAAGAAAACGCGCTGGCAGTGTGGGTCTGGGTGGTGTGTGTGTGTGTGTGTGTGTGTGTGTGTGTGGGGGGCATCGGCGAGCCGACTTGCCGCGCCATTTTCCGAGGATGCGACTGCCGAGGGTGGTGTGTTTACCGCCTTCTCCTTTGAGTTGCTGGGTCTCTTCTCTACCGTTGTCCGCGCTCCGTTGGTCGTCGAGGGGATCTTGAAGGGTTAGTGCCAGGGGAGTTATGGGAATCTCCTTTCCTGTAACCTCCACTTGCCGATCACCTCTGCCCTGTTCTTTCTCTTCTCTGGTGTGCTCCATTTCTTGCGGCGCGACGTGCAGCGCCACCTGCCTGGCGGTGGCGGCCCTCGGGCCCGCGTGCTGCTCCGTGGTGATTGGAATTTTGGCGTGGGAAGGGGGAAGGGGGACTGGTTGGTGAAGGGGGTGGGTTGATCTCTGGGGGTGACCGTCACTCGCGCTTGTTCTTTCTGCTTTTCCTTACATTTACCAAGCTCTACCAGGGCAGGGGCGCCCGAAGGGGGAGTGGGGGCGCTGCGACTGCCCGGGCAGCTCGGCTCGACCGTATTTTCTCTTCGTTGCCTCAGGGTTCCTTCGTGGCCTGACGTTTTTGATATCTGCCGTTGGCGTTCTCCGATCTAATCTATCGAGTGACCGCGTGCCCGTGAGAGCTGTCACGGGGCGTTGTCGGTCCGGCTCCAGTCGGCCCGCCATGCCTTCGTGGATTGCGGGGCTGCCTGGGTTCGGGGAGGCCATGGAGGAGCTCTTGGGGGAGAATCCGCAGCTCTTGGCATGCGTGGAGGCGTCTCGCCCTGGCCGAGGCGCGTTTCTTCGAAGCTGGTCGCGATGCTCGCTCGCCCGTGCGTCTTCCGCCCTGCTCGCGGCGCCCAGGAGAAACGCTTCTGGGCTCTTCGCAGCTTTGCGTGCTGCGGCCTCAGGCGGCCAGCGCCGCCTCCGCTCTGCCGTGGCCTGTTGCCCGCGGTTGCAGGTGCACTTGGACAGTGATCTTCGCTGCCTTAACTTGCGCGGCCTCTCTGAACATGTGCATTGTCTTTTTCGCAGCGCGCTGGCGGGGGTGGGGGGCTAGACATGCCGCGATCCCACATGGGCGCGGGCTCTAAGCGTGCCATGGCAACCAGGCGTGGGCGACGTTCCCTCCTTTGGTGCAAGTTCAGGCGACGTGTAATCTTGGGCTCTGTTACTGATGGGAATGCGGCTCCTTCGTCGTCCTTGGGTGACTCTGCGGCTGCCCCGGGCCCCTACTGGAAGGCAGTGTTTCGGGCCCTATTCGGTTGACTCGGATCTTTGGGAAATTCGGCCTATTACACATGCTCAGAACCCAGTGGGCCGCTCCTGGCACATGGATTGCGCGGCGTGGTGCTAGATGCTCAACAAACACGCCCGCGGCGTGCCTGGCCCGACGGGGTTCCCTACGCGGTTTGGGAATGCCCTGATGCATCGCGCTTGCCGTGCTCCTGCATCGCGCTTGCCGTGCCTCTGATGACATTTACTCGCTGCCTGAGGGCGTGCGTTTCAGCCTCCTTATCTTCTTCCCTGAAGGCGCTGATCCTTCCGACCGCCCGTGGCATGCGCTGTCCCGCTCGGTCGCCTGCGCTGAACCGCCCGGCATGAGCAGCGCCGATGACAAGATTTTGGCCGCTGCCGTTGTCAGCTCTGTCATCTCTGCTACTCAGGGGCTCGTGGTGAAGGAGCAGAAGTGCATTGGTGGGTGGAATATGATTGAGAAAGTCGTGCGTGCGGAGGCTGCGGGCTTGTCTCGTCGCTTGCGTGATGACCGGCACGCCGCGCTCTTCTTGACGGGCTTTGCATCGGCTTCCCGAGCATTTCGCTAGCCTGACTTTTCTTTGTCCTTGAGGAGATGAGGAGTCCGGTGGCCGTCATTCGATTTTCCCGCCAGATGTACATGTCGGATCTCGCTGTCGTCACCGTCGTAGGTCATCGATTTCATGCCATCCCGATCGGGTCTGGGGATAAACGAGGATGTCCAGCTTCTATGCGCCTGTTCGTTTTGGCAGTGGACCCGCTGCTGCAATGGCTTCACAGCCGAGGCGCCGTGAACATCGGCCTGACCTCGGCACGTGCAGATGTCTTCCTCTTTGTGCTGAACGTGCTTGTGGACTTGAGTCCGCTCCTCCCTGCGTTGATGATGCTTCAGCACATTGTCAACCTGAAGCTAGATTTCAAGAAGTGCCAGATCGTGATACGTGGCACTGCTTGCGCTCGTCTGTTGGCCGCGCTGGCGAGTTATGGCGACCCCTTCGCCAATATTCAAGTTGTCTCCTGGGCTGTCTAGTCTCAACATGTTTCGTGGGGTTCTGGTTTTCCTGCCCGCCGCGTCGCGCCTTCGTTTCCCCCCTCGCTCACCTCCGTCCTCCCCGTCCTCCCCCCCGTTCTTCTCCTCGCCCGCGCGCAGCACGTGCGCGGCCCGTGTGTGAGGCGCGCGTCTACATGCAGCCGCGTGCATGCACGCATTCGCACGCGCACGCGCACGCGCACCGCACGCGCGCACAATCTCACATACAGGCACACGCACTCAGTGCGGCCTCTATGCGTGCCAGGGTCTGAGGGCGCGGCAGACGTGGCATTGTCTCGACGCCAGAGGGGGTGCGCGCGGGGTGGGGGGCGCTATGCGTTGCAGGCTCGCAGGGCGTGGCAGGCGTGGCGTTTCCTCGACGCCGCAGGGGGTGCCCTGGGGGTGGGGGCTCTATGCGCTGCAGGCTCGCAGGGCGTGGCAGGCGTGGCATTTCCTCAACGCCGCAGAGGGCGCGCTGGGGGTGGGGGCGCTATGCGTTGCATGCTCGGCTATGCGTTGCGCGCCCCCGCTTTGCGTTGCGTGGGGGCGCCGAGGTGCGCGGCGCATTTGATGTTTGAAGCCGACAGCCCGCAAACTGGTGGCCTGACGCGCTTCTCACCGGGTGCAGTGAGTTGCCGCGTGAACGAAGCGCTTCGATGCCTGGAGGCAGTGCTTGGCTAGGTGCTCGCTGAACCCTTCGTCTGCATCGTTCTCGCAAGTTTCACGTCGACTATCATCGCGCCGGGTATCTGACAAGCATGTGGGGTTCCTCGGTCGCGTAATTGGGTTTTCCTATTGGCCCTGCTGCGGCCTTTGAGGTCTGGGCGCCCGTTTTTCCTGGCTTTTTAGATTCTTTTCGCATGCTCGGTTTAGGCATCGCGCAGGGTGCTGTTGCCTTGCAGGTTATGCGCGCATCCAAGTTTCTGTTCTGCGTGCAGTTGTACCTGCTCGACAGTGGTCTGATTCGCCAGTCTCGGGAAGCAGTCGTGAGGCTGACCTCGGGGCCTCGCAGCGCCATCTTTTACAGTGTTGCCACGTGCCTCAAATCTCTTCAGTTTTGGATTGAATTTCTTGATATTTGGGTGTTCTCTCGGGCGGCGAGTATTCGTTGTATGCTGAAATCATACCTTCTCTATGGCGTCTTGGATGAGCTGGGGGCGCCTCGGGGGGATCTGGGGCATATTCCCTACCGGTGGCTCGTGGGCTGGAGTCAGGATCCCTTTCCTGGCCCCCCTCGCAAGATGAGAGATTCGTCCTTTGGGCTGCGTCTTGGGCTGTCTGCGGTAAACCCTAAACTTCAGCGTCGGCTTCATCTTGCCTTTCGAGCTCTGCAGTGTTCTGAACCTGTCCGTGCTGCTCTGCTCGGCCGCGCGCGCCTCATCGATCGCGCTGTCTCTCCTCGTGATATCACTATTATTTGCTGCGCTCTTCGGAATGCATGTGCTTCTACCTCCATGTATGTTGGCATCGCTCCTCTTCGGATGATTGCAGGATCCATGTGTGTCTCTGCGAGGTTTCGCTCGCGAGCAGCTGGCTGCCTCTTCGGCTGCGTCGCGGAGCCTGGCGTGGGTCTCGACTCTCTCCGACATCTCTCGCAATGTCCCTGGCTTGAGCTGGCGATCAAAAGATGGATCGGAGATGATATCTCGGGCAGGAATCCGAATGTGAGTCACTACTGGGTTTCCTTTGCCCTTTCCTCGATGTTGATTCGTTCCAGGCTTGTTTGGATCACGCTGCCTGCGACGACGCCTTCATTGCCGCGCTTCGCGCGAGAAGGCTCGTGCGGGGGGTTGAAGCTCGGCCCCGTGCCGCGGCCCCTCGTCACACGCCGCTGGCCACCGCCTGGAGTCTTGCGCCATTTCGCCCCCGAGCGCTGGCCCGCCTTCGGTCCCTTCCACTGGAGGCGCCGCCCGCGCCTCCGCCTGGCGCGCCGCGAGGCAGATGGGGGAGCTCCCGACCGAAGGGGTTGGTCACGTGGGCCATCGCATTGCTCGGCCCGAGGACCGATCACCTTCAACTCGAGACGTACAACGTGCTCGGAATCCCACGCTTTCCGTGCCGCTGCCTTTTAGCGGCTCCTGAATTCCCGGATGGTGGATCCGGGTCTCTGCGGAGCTGCTTACCACATCCTAGCTTCGACCCTCCAGTTGGTCTCCCTCGCCCGAGGGCCGCCCGATTGCCTGGCCTGCGTCTGCGCCGTGGACGCCTGCGGTGCCGAGTCGGGCCCGCCCGACAACGTGATCCCCGCCCTTGCGAAGTCGCTGGGCGTGATCCAGGACGCGTATCAGGAGTGCTAGTCGGTGCGGGCCCAGCTGCGGGAGACCTGCGACGTGTCTCAGGACGAGAGCTGCTCACGGCTCTCGCTATCGCTATTCTTTATCTTCGGGTGCTTGGTTGGCTCGCTGATCACGCTCATCGTGTCGTGTGGGGTATCCCTTACCCGCCGCTCAGCGGCAACTCGTCCTCGGGAGGCTGTTCGCCAAGTCTCCTTGGACGACGCCCCTGCGGAGATCACCGTGCCGACGGTCCTCCCGCGAGCAGCAGTCGCGCCATCGTCGCTGAGAGCCCATGTCTAAGAGTTGGACATTCCTGAACGGCAGGTGCTCATCAGTTTTTGGGGCGATCCCAACGGGCTGCGTTGCCGCGGGAGGATCCTCCTCGTTGCGACCCCTACTCCGGGGAAGTGGATAGTTGGGACTCCAGACTTCGACGTTCAGCTCGCCGACCTGGCGGAGCACAGGGTCATCCCCTTGGGCCGCGACGAGGACTTGCCTCGACGCCTGCTGCCCGAGACTTACTTCTTCGACGTGCCCATCGCGGCAGAGTCCCTCGCCCGCATGCGCCGGGCCGGTCGCGACCTCCTCGAGGTCTTCGGCTCGGTTGGGGCTGCGGGCGCTGCGCCGCAGAGAGGGCGCTGGCGCGTCTCCGACCCAGCTCACGAGGCCTTCGGCGACGAGGTCCCGGAGGGCGTCATCGGCGATGGAGAGCAGATGGTCATCCGCGAGTCCGTCGCGCTGGTTTGCATCGACGAGGAGTGGGCGTCGGCCGCGCTCGTCGAGGAGGCCGACCTAGCCGAGTGGAGGCACTTGAAGGCCGCGGGCCTGGGCAAGGACCCACGGCTGCTGGGCGACGAGCGCATCGGGGGCCAGCCGCACATGAGCTTCCAGACGGTCGCCAAGCTCTCGCGTCCCGCGAACCGCCCTGGCTGGCCTTTCCAAGGGAAGGCCGGGGCGCCGGAGCTCCAGCGGGCCTTGATGACGGCCAACCACGACTTCATCAGCCACCACCTGGACTGGCGCACGAAGTCGGGCGTGAATCTCCACGGCGTCGTCTGCCGCCTCCACCGGCGGCTGTGCGAGACGCCGTCGATGCTCTACACTTACGACCAGGTCGACCCGTCGAACGTGGCGGGCGCCGAGTGCCTCAGCAGGTGGCTCTTCGAGGTTGACCGCGGTCCGCCGCAGCCCGAAGGTGCCCGACCTCGCCAATCTGGGGGGCATCTTCGCGGCGCCCCTCGGCGAGGACGGGCGCGCGCTGCTCCCGTAGTTCGGCGGCTTCGTGTCGGGCCTGCAGCGGGGCGAGGCGCAGCGCTTGAAGCAGATGCGCCTCTGGCACGACGAGACGGGCCACCTGGCGCGCGGCGGCGGCGGCGGCGGGGGCAGGGGCTCTGGCGAGGATGGCGGCCGCGGCCGGGGCCGAGGGCGCGGCGGATGCCGCGGCCGAGTCGCCGAGGCCGCCCGGGAGGGCGGCTAGCCCCTGCGGGGGCTGCGGTGGAGGGTTGCTCGGCTCCATCCCCGACGTCGTTTGCCTCGCCGCCGCTTTCCTCGAGCTCGACGTGGGCGCCAAGCTGATCGAGGTGACAATCGTGCGCTTCGTGGCCGTGCCCATGGCGACCCGTTCCCCCTTCCGGTGCTGCGCCGGTGGGAGATCGTGCGCGGCGGCCGCTCTCGGCAGCCTTCGCGCGAGAGACGGTGTAGGGAGGCCCTTCGCTCCCTCCATGCATTGGATGCCCCGTCTCGGGCCTTGAGAGCCCGCCCGGCTCCAGCTGGGCGGCGCCCGACTATGGCGCAGCGTTCCATCCTTCGAAGGACCTGGGCAAAGGTGTCTCGTTTTTCTTCTCGGCCATCCCTATCGCCGTGTGACGCCGTCCACGGCCTTCTGAAGTCCACTGGCATGTACTCGCATCAGCCTCAGCACCTTCGACCGTACGACTTGACAAAGCTTCGGGTCTTGCAGGGCCTCGTCACGCCGCGGCCGCTCTGCGACAGACTGCCGCCGGTGGGCGTTCAAGCCCTGGACCGCGCCGACTCCGTGCTCTACCGCGCGGCGGCTGAGATCGACGCGCTGTCTGAGCAAGGCCTCATCGTGCTGGTGCGGCCCTACTGGGGCCCTCGCCTTCGTCGCGACATGACGGCTCGCAGGGACTTCGTCATGCGCCTGCGTGCCGTGAGTCTGGTGGGGTTCAGGCTGGCCATCCCGGCCCGCATCGGGTCCTTTTTCATGGCAAAGAAGGGCGGCGAGCTGCGGCTTGTCCTGGGTGGCCGCGAGGCCTCGAGTCTCCACCGACGCCCTCCTCACTCGGCCCTTGGCTCCGCCGGGGCCCTCGCTGGGCTCGACCTGTCGCCGCAGGCGCTGCGCCGCGCTGGCCTCGCTGACGCCGGCGTCGACCCCCGCGGCGCTGGCGTCGACCTGCGGGGCGGGCTCTACCAGTTCGTCGACGACGACTTGGCGGACTGGTTTGGCTTCGACTTCGCGGAGCCCGCGGGCTATTACGACATCCTGGACGTCTGATTCACTGACTCTCGGACCTTTGGCCAGGTCTCCAGCGACGTGCGGATTTTCCCGGTCTTCAGGGGCCTGCCGATGGGTTGGAGCTGGTCGTTGTGGTTCTGCCAGCTCGTCACCGAGTCAGCTGAGGTGGCGGCCGTCACCTGGGTCGCAGGCGCCGCCTGCCCGTGCGTGATCTCAGACAAGAGGCCCGCGCCGCCCTTTGCGTTGGGGCGGCCGCTGGTCTCGCCCTATGTTGACAATACTAATCTTTTTTTGAGTTTGTGCTGCTGACGTCCGCGCGGCCCTCGACGAGGTCTGCGCCGAACTGGGCCGCGTGAACCTCGTCTTCCATGAGAAGGTTGAGCCGACCCGCCTGTATGAGTCCTTCGGCGTGGTGTTCGACGGGCAGGCGCGGAAGTTGCGACACACCGACGCGAGGGCCTGGAAACTCTACCTGCGGCTCCAGCACCTCCTCGGCGTGGGCGGCGCGACCGGCTGCGCGCTCCGCATCATCTACGGGCACCTCGTACACTTCTTCATGCTGCTGAGGCGGGCCCTGGCGGTGCTCGACCTGGGCTTCCACTTCATCGCCGAGCACCGCGAGAGGTTCGCCAAGTTCGACTCCGACCTGATGGAGGAGCTCCGCGTCGCAAAGTGGCTGGTTTTCTTGGTGGAGGTCGACCTCGTGGCCCCGTGGGCCCCCTGTGGCGTACTGCAGCGACGCCAGCACCTTCGGCTACGCGTTCGGGAGCGGTGGCGTTTCCTGGACGTGGAGCCCGATTTCCCGCGCGGGTCTGGTGACCGTCCGCTTGCGGCCATGGGGGCCGAGGCGACGACCACCCTCGCGACCAGGCTCGTGGGCGACCCCGCTTTCGACTTTGACGACGATTACCGCGGAGGCGCCTGCCTGGACCGTCGACCCTCTCGGACTACCACCCTCGAGCTTGACGGGATCGTGCAGCCAGTTTCGGATTCTGTGGTCGACCGCCGCCGCTGGGCCCTCATCGTGCGAGGGGCCTGGAGGTACGCTGCGCCCATCCACGTGAAGGAGGCGCGCGCCCAGCTGCTTGGCCTGTTCCGAGCCTCAAGGGGCACTGGGATGCATGGCCATCGCATCGGCAGCCTTGGCGACAACATGTCGGCCCTCCTCAGCTTCGAGAAGGGCCGTGCCCGCGACTACGGCCTGCGGCAGCTGTGCAGGGTCGCCGCAGCGCGGCAGATCGCCACGGACATCCAGTGGCGGCAGCAGTGCGTCGAGACGGACCGCAACCCGACGGACCACGACTCGGGCGGCCGACCGGGGCGAGGTGCTGCTGGGCCGGCCGCAGTGGGGGCCCCCCGGCGGTCTGGCCGCCGTCGAGGCCAGCCTGGGGCCCCCACTTCCCGCCGAGGGCCTGAGAGCGGCCCAGCCGGCCGCGGGCCCCGCCGGCGGCATGTCTGCGCATGGCGCCCGCCGGTGCCTGGCCCGCGTGGCAAGCTTGCGCGCTAGCCGAGCCGGCCGCCGCCGACCCGTGCCCGCGTCGGCGCCAGCGTCGCCGCCTCTGCCATGTCAAATCCCGGGGGTGACCGAGAAGGTGGCCTCAGAGACGGCGAAGCCTGGCGCCGCGCTTGCCCCGAGGGAGGCAGAAGAGAAGGCCTCCCGCACATCGTCTCGACCTCGGGGGCTATCTCGTCAGAAGGCCTTCTGTGAGATCTTCGCGGGCTGAGCCCAGCTGACCGCCGCCATCAGGGACTTGGGGCTCCTGGTCACGACCCCCGTGGACCTGGCGAACGGCCCGCACTTCGACATCCTGGACTACCCGGTGTTCCGCGTCCTGGCCTCCTGGATCCGTGCTCGGAAGCTCTGGTGGGTGCCGCCCGGGACTCCGTGTATTGCGTGGAGCTAGGCCGCGGGGGCCGCTCGTCATCGCCATCGTCGTCAGGGCCTCCAGCTGGCCCGTCGCACCCTGGACCTCATGAGGCTCTGCAGGGACTTCAGCGTGCACTGGTCCCCTCAGAACCCCGCGTCGTCGCAGCTGTTCTCTTGTGCCCCTTTGGCTTCGTTCGTCTCCTCTACCGTCTCTGTCAATATTCTCGTTCACTACTGCCAGTGTGGCTTATAAGAAACCCACGCTCATCGTTTCTGATCATCGTGATCTTGCTGCGTCCTGGGGGCCACCGACACGAAATCCTCGAAGGCAAGGTCTCCGTCGCCGTCAATGGTTCAATCCATAGCCGGTGGCAGACCTGGCCGGGGCGTGCCCGCCGGCCCTGTGCCGCGCCTGGGCCGAGGCTCTGGGTGCCGTTGCGCCCTCCTCGGCCTGGCGTCGGCATGGCGATCCACCGGTCTCCGACGACTGGGAGGCTCACCTGGCGGCCGCTGCCGGGCGGCCCCTCAGCAGCCTCGTCCGGCCCTGGCGGCGACGGAACCACGTCGAGCCTGGCGGCCAGGAGGCGCGCCCGTGCTGTGCAGCAGCCGCGGCCTTGCCTCCAGTCGCGCCGGGTCCGCCCGATCACCGCCGGCAGGTGCCTCGACTTCTGCGCGAAGTTCAAGGTCTGAGCGCAGAGGCAAGGCCGCCCCTTGACGTCCCACGACCTCGTCGACCGTGCGATGGAGGACTACCTCGACGCTCTCTACTTCGACGGCAGGGCGCTGGCCGAGGGCCGCTACGCTGTGCACGGGGCCACCCACTGCCTGCGGTGCCCGCGTTGGACGCCCTCCACGCTCCCGCTCAGCCGCGGCGCGCTGGCGTGCTGGGGCCAGGCGGGCCCCGAGCGGGTCCGCGACCCACTGCCGTGGGAGGCAGCCGTGCTGATCGCCGACCACATGATCCAGCAGGGGCCTCTCGGCGAGGCGGCCGCAGGAGCGCTCGTCGCAAGCTTCGACGGGCGCCTCCGGCCCTCCAGCGTGCTGAAGATCACTTGCGGCGACGTGCACGCCGCCGCGGGCGTGGTGGGCAGGGGGTGCCCTCGCGTGGCGGTCGCCATCGCCCCGCTCAACGCCGACGACGGGGCCGAGCCGCGCCTGCGGCTCAAGAACAACGGTCACGATATGACGCTGATCTTCGGAGACCAGGCCAGCTTCAAGGCAGGCCGCAGCTTCGTCGCAGACCCGCTCTTGAGGCTGAAAACCCAGCGGCCACCTCGCCGGCCGCTCTTCCCGCTGACACTGGCTCAGTACGAGAAGTACTTCAATGCCGCCGTCGACGCCTTGCGCCTGGCCCGTCTGGACAACGCGCCCCACTGTGCCCGCCACGGGGGCCCCTCGGTTGACGCAGCCAGGGGCCTCCGCAGCATTCTTGATATTCAGAAGCGCGGGATGTGGCGGGCAGCGTCCTCTGTCAGGCGCTGCGAGAAGGCTGGCACGTTGTTGCGGCAACTAGAGAAAGTGCCGCGCGCCCTTTTGCAGTCCTTCCCAGGGAAGCTGGCTCAGCTCAAGGCCCGCCTGCTTCGCTGAATTGTCTGGCCTCAGTTTCCTTCGGCACCCTCCGTCTCCTCCCTACAGTCCATATTTGTGGGATATGGGGTGTGCCATCAGATCAGTTTGAGTGTGTGTGTATGTGTGAGAGGCTACTGTTCGAGTGTGTTTTAGTGTGCATCTCCGCCGGCGGATTTCTTCTGATAGCTGATGTCTGGTCTGCTCGCAGGCGCGCTTGCAGAATCGACCTTGCCTCTGGCAAGCCTGTGGAGTGAGAAACGGAGTCTGCCTCTCTTTGTCAGCGCTGGTGAGCGGTGTCGTCTGCCTCGATGGGTTGGGCCACTCTGACCTCGATTGGCCCCCTGCAGTGTAGCTCACCGGTTGCAGCGTGCTCGGAATCCCACGCTTTCCGTTCCGGTGCCTTTTAGCGGCTCACCCGCCCGCATGCACCCTACTGCAGGGGTGTGCCATCAGATCAGTTTGAGTGTGTGTGTGTGTGTGAGGCTACTGTTCGAGTATCTTTTAGTGTGCATCTCTGCCGGCAGATTTCTTCTGATAGCTGATGTCTGGTCTGCTCGCAGGCACGCTTGCAGAATCGACCTTGCCTCTGGCAAGCCTGTGGAGTGAGAAACGGAGTCTGCCTCTCTTCATCAGCGCTGGTGAGCGGTGTTGTCTGCCTCGGTGGGTTGGACCATATATATATATGTATGTATATGTATGTGTGTGTATATATATACACGTATGTAGTTATAACACATTTTTGGTTTGAAATATTAAGCCATCTTGGGGCCTAAGAGGCCCATCGGGAAGGAAACAAACGAGAGACCCAAACAGATGGGTGTTCGTTCGGTTTTGGGGAGATCTTGGCCTCTTGGGGGAGTGACACTTGGAACCCTCTTGAGGCTGTCTTAGGGCGTTTTGGAAACCCGCTGGAAATGGGGGGAGGAGGAGGAGGAAGGGGAGGACGGGAAGGAGGAATAATAATAATAGTAGTAAGGATCATATTACGAATATTACTAATACTACTACTAATAATAATAATACCAGTACTACTACTACTACTACTACTACTACTACCACTACTACTACTACTACTACTACTACTACTACTAAACATAATACTACTACTATTAATGATGATAATACGGATACTCGTAATAATAGTAATATTAACAATAACAACACTAGTAATACCACTACTACTACTACTACTACTACTACTACTACTACTACTACTACTACTACTACTACCACTACTTCTAACATATCATCACTACTATGAATAATACTACTACTACCACTACCACCACTACTAGTCATATTAACACTAATACCACTACTAATTCTAATACTACTACCACTACTACCACTACTATCAATAATACTATTATGCATCACGCTAATGATCTTAGTAATCATGGTACTAATATTAGTCTACTGCTACTACTACTAATCAAATTAATAATGATAATGGTAATAATATTATTGATACTACTAATGGTAATAGCAACACTACTAATAATGACAATAGTACGAATAATGATAAGATGCGAATGCCAATTCTATTACTAACAGTAACAATACTAGTGCTACTACTAATAACACTTAAAGTAATAGTAATAATATCACTAATAATAATGATTCTACTAATTCTGATATTAATAATACTAGTATTGCGACTAACACTAATACTATCAATACAAAAAACAACAACCCGTAACACACGAACCATGATACTATGTGTGGTTATATATAGAAAACAAGACGTTCAAACATACGAACCGTGATATACTACGGCGATGAGGAAGAGGACGAAGATGAGGAGCAGGAAGAGGATGAGGGAGAGGAGGAGGAGGAGGAGGACGAGGAGGAGGAGGAGGAGAAGGAGGAGGAGGAGAGTCGGCAGGGGCATGAGCCACTGGCGCATTCGACTTGACTATGGTGCCACTGTGGTCTCCAACGTTATGTTGGCCAACGTATGGCCTGAATTCATGCTTCTGGCTCCGCTTTCCGCGGCGCGCGAGGGGGGACAGGGTGAGGAAACCATCGGAAGTGCATCAGGGGAGGTCTAGCCAACAGAAGCCTGGCTGAAGCTGGAAGAAGTAAACTGTGGATCCCCCCCAAACCCAAGGACTGTCACTGCCAGTGTTCCGAGGAATGTTGGAGCTGGCCATTCTGCAGTCGTCAGATAAACAGTCTTCCAATGCCGACGTTCCATTGTGCGCGCTAGCTCGAAGGACGTTCGAATGAGTTTGACCCTCGCATTCCGCTGGAAGCGTGGTGGCTGGCACTCAGAGCAAGGATGCATTTTTCATGGCCGTGGCAATTGCCTCGAGCTGCTTGAATTCTGCACGAACGCACGGTTCGTGTTCGGTTCTCTTCGTCTGCTGTTATTGCTGCGCATCGCCCAGACGAAATGCAGCCTCGGCGACGCTGTCTGGGGCCCTGGGGCGCAGACCAGACGCCGCACCCGCCGCTCGCCCCTTTTTCCTCCTCCTCCTCCTCCTTTCCCTCCCTCCTGTTGCAACTGGATTGTCGATTTGTTGTTCAGGCCATGGTTCATTGCATGAGTTTGCCTGATTAGTGCAGGTTGGTTTGTGCGGTGTCCCGGTTCGCCTTGCGATCCGTAGATTCGCGATGTCGTTGCGTCAACCGGGATGCGTCTTTCCACGTTTCCTCTAGCCTGTGGCCCGTGCTTGGGGAGGGGGGGTAATTCGTTACCTTTCACACGCTCGCTTGATCGCAGGCCGCGGTTCACTTCATGAGTCTGTGCCTATTGGCAGGACGGCTTGTGGTGGATTGCATCCAGTTTGCCCGGCGCTTCTTTCCAGCCTCCGGGCCTAACACGCGCCGGCCGCCTTGGCAACGCCAAGGCGGCCAGGAGCGACAATCGCAGGTTTGTTTTCCCCTCGTTCTGGGTAGGTCAGGAG